CTGAGCCTGATGAGGGGGACCCTGCGTGGCCCCGAAAGCGATTGATATCCTGAGTGGCATCTATCAAATAAATGGATTTGCACTGACTTGCAAGCTTCTGTCGTGCTGGTGTGCTGATGACGTTTATATCTAAAGCTGTTCTGTGTGCGGCGCCATCCGCTGTCATTTCGAGCACCCATTAATATTTTGGGATTTCTGGTAAGGAGTGCAACAAGATTTATGACATTTGCGCTGGTCATAATGTGCCGCCCAGATTTTGAATTGGCTCGGTAGTCGACTTCACTTCTTGCTAGGCAGCTTGGCTTCCTGACCAATCAGGAAGCCGGGCGGCACATCATGACCCTCCTCCTGGCTTCCTGATTGGTCAAAAAGCCAGGCTGCCTACAACACGATCTCATGAGGCGGATCATGATGTGCCGCCCGACTTCCTGATTGGCTAGGAAGTCGGCTTCACTTATTGCTAGGCAGCCTGGCTTCCTGACCAATTAGGAAGCCGGACGGCACCTCATGATCGCCTCATGAGATCGTCATGAGATCTCCCTCTGACCGGATGTTCCGGTATCGGGGGTACGTATCGGAGCATTTGGGCGAGTACTCGCACTCGCCCAAATACTCGGTATCGGCACGGATATAGATACTAGTATCGGTAGTGGTGCATCCCTAATAATCAGGAAAAAGGCAATAGTTATTTTACTCACGTTGCACAGCGAGCGGGGGCTATACTTTCCTAACTCTATTTCATGGAAACAAAAATCCCAGTCTGGTGCAAATGCTGATCTCCCTCACCTCCACATTACCAGTAAGGGCTTGTTCATCTCCAGACCAGATCCAGACCAAAATGTGTTTTGTCTGGTCCACAAATGCATCCACATAGATGCCAAAATGCAGCTTGCTCTATTTTTTGCATTTGCAGTGGAACGGAACGCAGGCAAGGTTTTGCCACGCGCCCGATCGCACTGCGAGCGGGGGGGCATGGAAGTGGTGCCATTGAATTCAATGCACCGCCACCCCCTCTCCTGCCCCAGAACGCAGGGGGAAGTTTTGTGAGGGATTGCAGTGCGTTTCAGCAGCTACCACTCTGGAACGCAGCGCATTCTGTGTGAACAAGCCCTAAGAGAGGAGCTTAGTTGAGCTTTGTGAATGTAATTATTCAGAGACTTAGCAGTTTTGATACTGTGAACTAACAAAGTATCAATGTGGCACAATATACTTCTATAATGCTAATCTCATGGGAGTAGAAATGTCCTGACATCAGACTAACAGCTGAAGTCTTCATTCTTGGCCTCTCAGTGAGAAGCTGAGAATGAGAGTAAAGGTGAGCAGCAGAGAATCTGCATTTTAATGTACTGATGTCAGCTCATATGCTACATCTGTGTGCTTTTGTTAGAGACACACACAGCCTACTAACACACACAAGGGGGGATCCATAGAACTCTGCTTGATAAAGGAGCCACCCTAAAACAGGATATCAGGACCAGTGCTCAAGAGACCAGCTGATTCTGCAGGAAAATGTTAAACATCAAGTAGCAGCATCCATTGTCAGTGATTCCATCAACATTTGACATTTTGACTTTAATATCACTTTAAAGTAGACGTTTCTTTATCATAGGTGACTATAGTAACTGTAATAAACTGTTTACTCTAAGGTCCCTGAAGAGGACACGCAGCCACAATCTGAGACAGTAGCGGAACTACCGCCGGTGCACTGGGGCATGAGGCTGTGGGGGGGCCCGGTCCTGGGCATCCCCACAGCCTCAGTGTGGTCCGCACTGCCGACGGGCTTCTCAGTGAGGAGGCGGGTCCTGTGACTCACCTCCCCTCCCGGCCGTGTCCATAGTAACAGGCGGCAGGAGGGGAGGTGAGTCACAGGAGGCGTGTGTGTAAGATAAAATCTTGCACCAGGGCCCTTTGGTTATTAGGTCCACCACTGATCTGAGAGTGGTTAAAGGAAGGTGTAATACTACAGGTGGTGGTATCAGCTGAGAATGTTATTAACAAAACTTTTAGAAATCTTCCTCAGTGATTATAATATACAGGAATTCTTAAAACAGAATTCCGGGCAAAACCTTTATCACTTTTAACACTGCAAGGGTTACGTGCTTGTTTCAGTCTAGGGAGGAAAATAAAAAAAGTTCTACTCACCCGATCCTCTGAGCCGGCCTGCTCTAAGACCTGTCCTTCCAGCCTCGCCCCCTCCTCTGCTGCAGCGTTCTTAGGTCCCTTAGTCATCACGTTCTATAGACAGTCTATTGGACATGAGGATGCTGAGGGACATATCATCGATGGAGTGGAGGAGGAGAGAGGCTGGAGGGAGAACTGTGGCCAGCTCTAAGGATCGGGATAGTATAACTGTTATTTTTCTCCCTAGACCAAAACGAGCTGTTACCGTTGCAGATAGGGGGTAGCTCCACTGCAAGGGGTAATTAAAGATTTGCCTGGAGTTGTTGTTTAAATGTTCTTGATACACACACACGCACGCACACACACACACACAGAGGTGGAACTGGATATACCCTTATCAACTATGTAACCATGTAAGAAGTTGGTGTCATTGATCTCTATGATCAATCGTGTAATTGTTGTTGTTTTCATTGGCACATAATATAACAGCCACTGGTGCTATTGATCTCTATGATCAATACTGTTTTTAGCAGCCTTATGTAGCTAACTCATTTTACATAATATCATTGCTGAAAGAGGGCTCACATGGGGGGTGGGGGAGGTGTAATGGAATCCATTCACCTTCCTTCTGTGTTATACATGGAAAGTTTTCAGAGAATGAACACAACTATTTGTTCCAACAGCATCAGGCACTTGTGCTTTACTTCTCATCAGACACTGAAGGATAATGAACTTTGCCCAGTGTTTGTTTGGGATGTAGTTAAAAATAGGGTACAAGCATCCAGTGGGATACCAGAGCTGTATCAGATCACACAGCAGAGGACAGTTTTGGACGGATTACAGCCGAGGAATCAATAGGCAGCAACATCAATAACAATGTCTGCACGTACCATTTGTCCCCCTAGCATTACTGGGTAGGACCAGAAATCTGTCATAGGTATGGCAGGACAAGATCACACCATGGCAGAGAAGTCTGAAACAATTTAGACTCACTCTCACTTTTTATATTCATTGCATTGCTCAGTAATCAGCATTGGAAGGTCAGCTATCATAGCTTCTTCTACCTATATAACAAAAATGTGCAGAGAAGCAGAGTTAAAGAATAACTCTGAGCAGAATAAAAATTAACCCTTGCAGTGGGAGTAGCCCTGCACTGGAAGGGTTACAAGAGAACTTCGGGGTAAGTGTTTTTCCCCCTAAATCTCTTTAGGGCGGGAGGACATATACTAACCTCCTCCCATGACCCAAAGCTCAGTATATCGCGTGCTATTGCCTGCGATATACTGAGAGCGCCGCAGACGGGATGGATCCCGACATTTCTGTATGGATCCACCTAGCTCCGTGCATCCAGTGACATCACTCCCAGCCAGAGTGTTCCAGGTTACTAAGTAGACATGTGCGATTTGTTTCAATTTGAATCAAAATTCAGACTAATTTTCCGAAATTCGGACACATCCGAATTCCAATGCATCTGAATGTGTCCGAATCCGAATTTCCGTTTTTCCGAATTTTGTTCAAAAACTAAACTGAATCGTACAGTGACTTTTCTGGCCAATCAGATGTTTGTTTTTTTCGGTTTATTGCATCCGAATGGGTCTGAACACGAATTTCCTTTACTGCAACATTGAATCCATATATGTACATAGAACACTAAAGCTGAGGCTCCCAGACCTGAATGGCATTCGGGATCAGAATTTCCCAATTGCATTTAGGAGCTTGCGAATGCCATTTGGGTCTGGTAGCCATATACATATATTACTAAAGCTGAGGCTCCCAGACCCAAATGGCATTTGGGAGCTCCCGAATGTAATTCGGAAATATGGATCCCGAATGCCATTCGGTTCTAGGAGATTCAGCTTTAGCATTAGTATCTGTATATGGCTTTCTGTTTAACTCGCAACAAATAGACTCATCCGAAAAGACTAAATTCGAATTTCGTCCAAATCCGAAACCCAAACCGAATTTCGGATCAAAATCCAAAAATAATGAAATATCCGAACCGAGTTTTTCCGCAGCTTACATGTCTATTTCTAAGAGCCTGGTGGGGAGATAGAGAGCCTGCAGAGGGGAGCGTTACTCTTGTATCTGGCTCCTCTACCCACCTTCTGCTGTTCTGATTGTTTGCACCCCTGCCTAAGGCTGCAAAAAGGCTTGGGACTCCACTGACAATAACTGTAACTATACTAATGAGCTTGTGTTCATGGTTAGGGGGGACAATTGAGGGGAATAATATTGTTAGGGTAAGGGCATGCTGGGGTGTTTTGTCCATCCAAAATCCAATATAAATGTAAAACACAATTCACAGTTGTTTATTTCTGTTTATACTGAGATGTAAGTCCATATAAATAATGATTGTAAATAATGAAACTGTGACATGCCTAATTGGTTTATTTATAAACCCAGCTCGTGCTTGCTGCGCATCTGATCATTTTGTTGGCATTGAAAGCATTTCCCAGCATGCACCACAGGGTATGATTAATCACAAACAGATTTGTGTTAAAGTTTATGCCGTGGCATTTCATACACAGAAATACAAATGAGGATCATTTTAAAGCTGGCATTTCTCATGAAAGCTCTGTGTAACAGTAATTAAGCAAACTAATTACTCACACAGCAATGGAAAAAGTAGATTTAGCAGATTGCTAGATGGAGGTATTCCAGATGCATAACAATACACACAAATGAAGACAGCAATATGTAAAACTGTACATCAGAAGTCATATTTGCTGTTATTACATTTCTTATTGAAAGAAATGTAGGAAATGCTTTGATGAAAGGATACACATTAAATATTGCACAGAGGGTTTTCATCAGTGTGCCTACCATAAAGAAACAGTACATATATGCATCTAGTATAGAGTCACACTGGGTTCACTTACTTTGGATTGGTCAGCAGATCGGAAGACATAGCATGTGCTTTGTTGAGGTGTCGTATTTTCTTCCTTTAGTATACAAGCAAAATAACTGGGGTCTTGGCTATTGTGTATCAGTTTCTGGAGAGACTGTGGCTTGTACTCAAAGATGCTAGAGCAAATCAAAGGATCCCACTGGTGGCTCTCTCCTGGATCTGGCTCACAGCATATACACAAGGCTGATACATATAGCCGAACAGGTCGGACAGGCTGAGAGTTTTTGGATCTTGATAGACTCTTTCTCTTGATCTCTGCCACCACCCAAGGTAACATGGGCATTGTAGTGAAGGCGTGAAGAGTCAAAGAACCAATGAGCTGAAGGTTGTACTCCAGGACATCATCATTTGGTGGTGACTGCATAGGAGCAATTAATGATATTGGATCCATGATAGATGTGAAGAATTCACCCTTCCAATGCCTACGGTTTCTTTATCTGTTCTTTCATCTCCACTATGTTGACATCTTTGTGGAAAACAAAAGAAAATAATATAGACTTCAACAGGACTAAATCCACAAATCTAATAGTAATTCTTCCCGTAGACTAAATATTTTGTTGTCTTTTATGCTAAAAATGCAATTGTCTGTTTCTGTAATCTTTATTGGATAACTCCGACTAATAGAGAAATTTCCTTTTGCATTGTTGATAGGAAGTTAACTTAAGAGTTGTTTCTTTTTATATCTCTTGGTGACTTTTTTGGCCAGTTATCCCCACCAGAATCCTCAGGGCTACCAAGCTGCTGCGGCTACTAATAAGCTCAATAACAACGTCATCCTCCCCTCATAGACTCTTCATTGTGCAGAAAAAATAATAATTGGGGAGTCTAGCTGTGAAAATGTGACGCCTTCATTATGACCTTATGGACGATGGGATACAAACAAGTGCTTGGAAATATCATAGCTTATCAGCAGTGAGACATATAAGAAGACAGTGTTCAAGTCAACATACATATGCCCTGCCTACACTGAAATCTCACTTTTAGTGGAGCTGACCTTTAAGTCTACAGATAATAAACAGTAAAAAAAAAAGAACTATTGGCATTTGACAAAAAAACATGAGAAATGTGTGCTATAAAAATGCCATACAAGTAGCTTGTTTACAGCCTCAGGACTTTTTTTGAAATAAGACTTGATCTAACCATTAGAGGTGGCTCCAAAGTAGTTCACATTGTACAATTCTATGTGCTGATATTTTTATAACACATCATACTAGGACTGAAACAAAGATTTTTTTTGGCAATTTGCAAGATATAATAACAATTCTAAATCTTTCACAGTTTCTTCTTACAGTCATGTCTTCTCCTAAATTAGAAAACACGATGAAAAATTCAGGTGACAAGAAACAAACACATGATCCCTCCATACAAGGCATATTGTTTACCCCTATTCTAATATGGCTCCACTCATCCTAGCTGCACTACTGATAATAATACAAATACTGAGATCATTGGTTTTACTGTTCCATCTGTGTTTATGCATAGATGCACTTCTCCCCCCTGATGCACGTTGGAACCTTGGAATGAAATCAAAGCACTACATCAAAATCAATAAAATCCAAGACCAACAATTGTTGGTTCACTCCAAATACCTAGTCCAGGAAACGAAAAATGAAAAAATAAATAAATAATAAACACAGGTCTTCCTAAAATCTGATTGGATCTAAGAAACATGTTCTGCCCACTGGGCTAAAGTGAAAATGTATCCTTTGCAAATTTATGCTCAAAATTTTAGCTTTTTCTGTTTTAATGCAATTTCATAATTCTCAATGAATGAACAGGAGGGGATATAGATCACTCCCATTCATTCATAATTGAGGGTATAGTAATCGTACCATATCCTCAATTATCTACATCTCTTATCTAGCGATCACTGAGTGTATGTAGCCTGCTCTCCTCTCTGACACAGACACACGCTGTCACAGGAGGCTGAGCGAGCGGTGTAGGAAGGAAAGCTCAGCCTCCTGTGACAGCGCTGTCTCCGCCCCCACACCGCCCTGTCGGACTGTGATAGGCGGCTGAGCGGTGTGGGAGGAGAGACACCGGCCGATCACGGCGTTCTCCTCCCGCAGCGCTCGGCCAGCTGTCACTTTCTCTCCTCCCCGCTGGGACAAAGAGCAGCGCCCAGCAGGGAGGAAAGAAATCATGGCTGCACAGACAAAACGGCAGGAAAATGCAATTTTCGGCCGGCGCCCCACTTCCTCTTTTCGCCCGGGGCCAGCACACCGGCCGCCCCCCCGGTTGTTACGCCACTGATAAGCTCTCACGGGCAGGACCATCTTGTCTTGAATTGTATTGTAACTATAAAGTCTTCTTTATAATCATTGCGGTGTAAACTGTTGGCACTATATAAATCCTGTATAATGATAATAATAATGATAATATAATTAAGCCCTTTCCTTTGAACACATCCAGTGTTCTGTCATGATACATTACTGTACATAAAAGGTTGCAAAGCACTTATTCTGAATACTTTGCATCAGGCTGGACTAATCCCAGGAGCTGCAGAACACATGTACCTTAAAAATCTCAGTTGATGTCTAACTTTTCAAAATGTTGATCTGTTATGGTTGCAAACCCATGTTCTCTGGCTACGTAAACAAAGGTGCTGATTTACAAACTAGTCAAGTCCTAATTAATAAATGAAACACATTAGTCCACTTCTGTAAATAGGACAGGTCTGACCTTATTGTGAAATGGAGCTGAGTAGTGTCTGGAAGGGTGTCTTCAGAGTACGGTGACCCAGCTGCTTCTCATCCCCTGCACACATTGCTGTCAAGGTTATAAACCAGAAATGGTGTGCTTGCTGTCCCAGCTCAGACTCTATCGTGTTACATGTTCTTATAACTAAGGTCAACATGCAAATTCATTTTCTAGCATGCAATACTTAAGGGAGCCAGGTGGCACAAGTCAAAATTTGTGAACTGAGCATTGAAAGTTTTTGTTATTATAGTTTTGCTATTAGATTTTCCCTTCTTTCTGCAGGCGTTCAATACCCAAGAGATGTGCTGTATATGTATATTTAGTTTGATTTTAGTACACTCGGTAAAATAAACCACTGGCATGGCAGAGGTAGAGGGTCACTCCATTTATGTTTTACCGGTCTATTCACTAAAGGGTGAAGAGTTTGGAGAAGGCAGGAGAAGTGAACAATCTAGGATAAAATAGCTGAATCTGAAAGTGAGCTGCATTGGAGAATGTTTCCAAATCATCGATGTTGTCCTAGATTGTTCACTTCTCCTGCCTTCTCCAAACTCTTCACCCTTTAGTGAATAGACCTGTAAGTGTTTGGTGGGTGCTGAATAGTTAAGCCACTGAACAGTTATTTATACACGGCCTGGCCAAGAAAAAAAGTCTCCACCTGGATTTAGCTAAGCAAATAGGTCAGAGTCTGCTATTGGATAATAGGTGTAGGTTCAGCAGCGTTGTATCCCCAGAAAATTAGGTCAGCTGCCTAACCGTATATACTGAATGACCAGGTTTTTACGATCAATACATTTTTTCTTCCCTGATGACATATTCCAAGATGACAATGCCAGGAACCATCGGGCTCGGGCTCAAATTGTGAAATTGTGAAAAAGCGGGGAAAAAAGCGGGAACATGAGACATAATTTTCATAAATGGATTGGCCACCACAGAGTGCAGACATTAACCCCATTGAGAATCTTTGGGATGTGCTGGAGAAGGCTTTACGCAGTGGTCCGACACTCCCATCATCACCACAAGATCTTGGTGAAAAATGTTGTGACATCGCATAAGCTTATCGAAAACGTTGCCATGGCAAATGCGTGCCGTAATCAAAGCTAAAGGTGGTGCAATGAAATATTACAGTGTGTGAATTTTTTTGGCCAGGCAGTGTATTTTTTGGGGGGGATTTTGTGGTTATATCAGTGTGCTCCTTCTCTCTCTCACTAGATTATTAATTGAGTTTATACTGTGGAGAATAAAAATGAATTTGTGGCACCACCCCAAGTTAGGTGGAAACACCCAATAGTCCAGGGCCAGGGTAGAATGTAACATTGGCATGACAATGACCCAGATATAAATGATCAATGACAGAGTAGCAGGAAAATTAAGTGATATACCTTATTTGAGCTAGTACACGTAAACAATGGGCACCCAGGGGATTATGTTAGCAATGCTTTTTGTCACTAACATTACATTCAAAGGGGTATGTCTGCTGTGTCTGCAAAACTTGAACATTTTATTGACTTACCATTTACTTTATTTAGGTTGTGTTCCTTAAAGGGAACCTGTGAGGATATAAACATAGGCGCTGCCATTACAAACTTTGTGTTAACCCTTTCGCTGCCTGTGTTAAATGCACATTTTAGGCCTGAAGATTACATGAAACTCTAAAAAATGTATATATTTTCTGAAAGCAGAATCCCTGTAGAATACATTTTTATTTCACATGATATCTGTGATCCTGTTTATTTAACCTTTATGTTCAGTAAAAAACACACTCAAACTCATTTTAATTTCACTTAACCGAATTTAGTTTTTTTGTCTTCTGTGCTGTACATCTTGCTGCTGGTACTTGCACTGCCTCTTTCTGTCTAATGTATTACTCTATTAGATTCATGCCTTGGTATGCGCACATCTTTTAACTTGGCACTGGCTATCTGCAATTGACTTTGCCATTCTGGCCCAGAAATCTTTTTGCCCTTTCATAATAGGAAGGGAAATTATAGCTGCTCAGTGTGGCTGCTTTACAGCTGGATTGGGTGAGTATTTTATGTTTGGAGACCCCTGAACATTGTGACCAGACAAACAATTGACTATTAAATTTAGAAAACTGCTCCAATCTCCATTTCATCCCTGAGATACTTGTTGCTTACACCAAGGTGGATTAGGACACCTACTGTCTCCTTTCTACACAGCATCAAGTTTAGCTCTAAACTACAGGTGTGATTTCAAGAGGTCTCGATTTAATGAGAATGAGGCTAGCTAGATTTATAAAGATATGGGGTCACTGAGAAAAAGGCACCAGCCTTGCAAATATATCAGCCCTTAGCTTGAGCCCAGTGAAAGATGTCAGGGACAGGGAATTCACATGAATTCTTTCGTCACCCAACCCATTCCTCTCTAAAGCACATTTGTCAGGGAGAGCTCAGTAGCTTCTTTCAGTTTAGTCAATTGTAGAATAGTAATCTCAAGCCAGGGCTAAAATTAGATGTATGGCACAAGTATCACCAGGAGTTGTATATAAATACAATTGTTATCAATATATTTTGGTAAAAATGTGGTAAAATATAAAAGATGAGATTGCACTGAGTAATTAGATACCAAACATGTCAAGCCTTAAAATTGTGTGTGTCCGTGAAACAGCAAAACTTTGGCCCCCAAAATTACCCATAGGCGACGCCTTAAAAGGCTGTGGGTCACCCCTTT